CTTACTACTTACTACTTACTACTTACTACTTACTACTTACTACTTACTACTTACTACTTACTACTACTTACTACTACTTACTACTACTTACTACTACTTACTACTACTTACTACTACTACTACTACTTACTTACTACTACTACTACTACCACTACTACTACTACTCTCACTACTACTACTACTACTGCTACTACTCCTACTGCTACTACTACTACTACTACTACTACTACTACTTCTACAACAACAACTACTACTACTACTACTACTACTACGACTACGACTACGACTACGACTACGACTACGACTACTACTACTTCTACTACTACTACTGCTACTACTTCTACTACTACTACTACTACCACCACCTACTACCTACTACCTACTACCTACCACCTACTACCTACTACCTACTAACTACTAACTACCAACTACTAACTACTAACTACTAACTACTAACTACTAACTACTATCGACTCACTACTAACTACTAACTACTAACTACGAACCGCTAACTACTAACTACTACTACCTACTACCTACTACCTACTACCTACTACCCACTACCTACTAACTACTAACTACTATCGACTCACTACGAACTACTAACTAGTAACTACTAACTAGTAACTACTAACTACTAACTACTAACTAGGTCCACGCTTGATAGACGGCCGTGGCACGAAATGGGATTTTCAGAAAAAAAACTCAATGTTTTTTGACGTTCTTCATTTTTGCCTTGTTCCAAACTACTGCGAAGCAGCACTTCATAGCCGGATTTCCCTCATTGTTTCAAAAGTCGTTTCAGCTCTTCTAAGAAGGCGATGGGGGTGATAGGCCCTAGACTTTGTCTAAAGACCCATTGGTTCACCATCGCTTTGACGTCTTCTGACATCAGGGTATGTCCTGCAACTTTGGAAGTCGCATTCACATGCTGCGGCCACCAGTCATTTTTCAGTGAACTCCATGCTCTGTCTATAATCTGAGTGCCTGCCAGAGAGGGGCCATTTTTTTCTTTGCAACAATTTTGCGTGTGAATTGTTTTCTTTGATGGGATACAGCTTCAACCCCAAAGCCTCTTTCTGCAGCTATCGATTCCCAAGCAACATTTCCATCTAGATATACCACCGTTGTGGTTTTCCCAACTATTCGATCCAGCAACTTGGACTCAACAATTTGAGCTTTGGTTTCTGTCGGCGGTCTCCTTGGCTGCACACATTAGGGACACGGGCATGCGCAGACTGAATTACAATCTACTATATGTGAGAATTTCTTCTTGTACGCAGCGGTATCATTTTCAAATGTATAGAAGGTTTCATTGCAACACAACTGTGTGCGGTATTATCAAGCAGAAGACAACAATTTCAAAGAAAAGTTTCTGAATGTTTCTATTTAGGCTCTGTCCTTTCGGTGTCACTCTGGGTTGGCTCACGTGCACAATTGCATGTCCTCCACGTTCGACAGCACCTAGCACTTGAACATGCGCCACGTACACGCTGTCCTTGCGAAGACCTTTCTTCTGCAACATATTCTCCAGGGCACGGATCTGCTGTGCGTAATGAGCATTTTTCGCTGACACATGGAAGCTCAGCAAGTTTGTGGCGTCAACCTCGACTTTCGTTCTAAGCTTCTTCGTTTCACAAATTCGGCGGCCGGCCTCTGCTTCCAATGAGCGGAGAGAGTTGAGGAAGTGTCGACAACACGTTTCCCCGAATCCAGTATTTTGCACCATGTCCGTCACCCTCGGACATTGATTCAGATTTAATTTGCAATACTGCAGCAACATCTTTTGCAAGCCCACTGGTCCGCATCGCAAGCCGCAAAATATGGAAAGGGATAGGAAGAGCATCCTATGTCCACAGAATCTCGATAGACGTCTCCATCCACACGGCGGATCTGCTGGCCATTTCAGATCTGAAATATTTCGACTTCCGCATTGCTCACACTTGGAAGGCCTAAGCTGTGTGCTTCGCAAGTGCATACAAATCTAAACATTGAATCTGTGGATAATTACAGAAATGTTTTGGGGAAAGTAAAACGGAAAAATAGACCAGGCACTCTGGAATCCATAGGTTATCAATCAACCATTGTGCTGCATCTTCTTCAGTGTCAGAGCAGGCAGGAAAGGAACGAGGAATGACACGGCGTAAAGCTGCAGGGCTTGGACGTCTGGTCGACGTCTTTCCACGGTAGGCTTTGCTGGCTCTTTTGCAGCACTTTCCAGTTTGTTTCTCGGAAATTCTTTTCTTTTTCTCTTGTCTCAAAACATGTTTGGGTCGTCCTTCTTGCATCTTTTTCAGCTGCAGCAACAAACTTCGATTTTTTTTGGCTCCCTTTTCGGAACATATCGGTGCGTGGACTTTCCCTGTCCGCGCTGAGCGGAAGGGCGCTTCATTGGGCGGAGTGAACCGAAACAACCCGCTGGAAGTTGATAAAAGCCGAACAATAATATACCGGCTAATATACCTATATCTATATATATAAATAAATAAATATATATATATATACATATGTATTAGAGATATTTTCTAAAAGTATTGAAAACCTAGTGTATATCCTAATCCTGGCGAGGACCTTAGGTCTTTATATATGTAAATATATATATGTATATTTATTTATCTGGGATATATATATATAGTTTCATTATTTGTATATCCCCTAATCCTGGGAGGATGCAGCAGCAGCAGGCGAAGTATGCGACGCCTTGCGTGGAGAAACCGTCAAGGATTGCACCCATGCATCTTCTTCTTTCCAAAACTCTGTCACATCAAACGGTGGAGGCACGGCTTCTGAACGTGGCGCAAGATCCTCTGTCAAGGAATGCACCCATGCATCTTCTTCGTTCCAAAACTCTGTCACATCAAACGTTGGAGGCACGACTTCTGAACGTGGCGCAAGATCCTCTGTCAAGGAATGCACCCATGGATCTTCCTCTTCCCAAAATTCCCTTAGGTCAAAAGGTGGCAAAGCAGAAGTCGAAGACGAAGCGCCACCGACTCCTGCAGAATCCGTTGGAAGCGGCGAAGCATTCATAGAAGCGAAGGCACAGGCAGGCTCCGAGTTCCTGCGTGTGTTTGTAAAACTGCCCAGAAGAAAAAACAGGAATCTCGGAAACAAAATCAACATGAGAATGCCAACGTTTTAAAATGTAAAAACCCGGCCTGACCAACTCTTCCATGATGTCATCTTGTTCTCGCCAAAGATCGCGCACCTTGACAATGCGATGTGGCGGGGAGTCATCAGGGCCAGGACAACTTATGACATCCTCCTCATTCTCAATGGAATCAGAAGAAACTTCAAAGCAAGGAGATCGCCAGGAGTGCATGTCCGGAGAATCTAAGACCTCAGTAGTTTGGAGGCCGCAAAGGCAATACGAGCCGAAGCGAGGAAAAGGAGCCAGAACGAAAAAAAAGAAAACAAGCAATGACATAAACCAGGTAAAACTAAGTTGAAACAAAGAACAGGTATGGCACCAGTTGACGCACGTGTCACACATGGTTGAGCAGAAGAACTCTGAGACTGCCTTGGCAGAAAGCTCGGTTCAAATTTTCCAACACCAGGACATGCCGATTCCATTTCAAGCACTCCAAATTCATCTCTAGCGGCCACCGGAGGTGAGACAGCATGAAGCATCTCCAAGCTCCTGTACACAGCATCTATCGAGACAGGAGAATGATTGTGAGCCATGCGGCGCTCCAAGGCAATCGTTCGTTGTAGGACAACATCTGGCAACGGATCATGTCGTCTCTGAAATCGATCCCAACAGTCACGTAGAACAACAATGGATGAGCTCAAAGCTCGAAACTTGCCTGCGTCACAATCCAAAAGACATCTCGCCACCAAGACAGCCACATCATCGTTGTCAGTCAGTGCTGCTGAGAATACCTGACACATGGTTGTGTGGAAAAAAGCTGGCAGCCTAGGCACGGGAACAAGAAATGCATAACAGCCAAGATGTACTTGGACTAAATCCCACCTCATGTGTCTCATCAAGTTCATCATCATCCACGCGTGTCCAGTCACGAAGCAGAGGAGGCTCTTTCACATGAGCAGTGCGAAGCAAAGACAGCAAAGTAAGACCGTAGAGGCAAATCTCCAATTGGTTACGGAGTTCCGGCATTTCAAAGCCAAAAAGCTCATAAATACACAGGCACACTTGTTGTCGCAGAAACTTGCTCATTCAGGATGAACGCTAACATAACATTTCTCTATTTTCACATCTGTCTTTGCATATATTTGTAAATCGATACATGAATGTATATAATATACGTGAATAGAAACACATCCACATATTTATATTTATATATATATATATATGTGTACAACTCAAATGCCAGCACCATGCAACAACTGCAGACAAGACCCAAGAACCCGCCCAGCACGCTGAGTATGTGTCCTGACAGCGAAGGCTCACATAATGCAATATTAACCAAACCAAAAGAAAAAAGAAGGAAAGCCATACTACCGGGGTAACCTGTAAGGATAGTGTAATGATGAAACAAAACCACAACATGGGAAATAGAACATTACCCATACCCTATACTATGTCAGGAAACGCAAGACGACATACAATAACATAGCATCATGTATGTAAGAAAGTGCAAGACGACATACAGTAGCGTAGCATCATGTATGTGAGGAAGTGCAAATGAACGTTATTACCCCACCCCACCCCACCCCACCTCACACAATAACGTAGCATCATGTATGTGAGGAAGTGCAAGACGACATACAGTAGCGTAGCATCATATATGTGAGGAAGTGCAAGACGACATACAGTAGCGTGGCATCATGTATGTGAGGAAGTGCAAGACGACATACAGTAGCGTAGCATCATATATGTGAGGAAGTGCAAGACGACATACAGTAGCGTAGCATCATGTATGTGAGGAAGTGCAAGACGACATACAGTAGCGTGGCATCATATATGTGAGGAGGTGCAAGACTACATACAGTATAGCATCATATGTGTGAGGAAGTGCAAGACGACAAACAGTAGCGTAGCATCATATATGTGAGGAAGTGCAAGACGACATACAGTAGCGTAGCATCATATATGTGAGGAAGTGCAAGACGACATACAGTAGCGTAGCATCATGTATGTGAGGAAGTGCAAGACGACATACAGTAGCGTAGCATCATATATGTGAGGAAGTGCAAGACGACATACAGTAGCGTAGCATCATGTATGTGAGGAAGTGCAAGACGACATACAGTAGCGTAGCATCATATATGTGAGGAAGTGCAAGACGACATACAGTAACGTAGCATCATATGTGAGGAAGTGCAAGACGACATACAGTAGCGTAGCATCATGTATGTGAGGAAGTGCAAGACGACACACAGTAGCGTAGCATCATGTATGTGAGGAAGTGCAAGACGACATACAGTAGCGTAGCATCATGTATGTGAGGAAGTGCAAGGCGACATACAGTAGCGTAGCATCATGTATGTGAGGAAGTGCAAGACGACATACAGTAACGTACCATCATGTATGTGAGGAAGTGCAAGACGACATACAGTAGCGTAGCATCATGTAGTGAGGAAGTGCAAATGAACGTTATTACCCCACCCACCCCACCCCACCCCCCCACCCCACACAATAACGTAGCATCATATATGTGAGGAAGTGCAAATGAACGTTATTACCCCACCCCACCCCACCCCAATGAGCAAAAAAGCAACAAAAATACGCGGCCGTCTACCAAGCCTGTGCCAACTACTAACTACTAACCACTAACCACTAACTACTAGCCACTAGCCACTAACCACTAACCACTACTCACTAACCACTACTTTCTACTTACTACTTACTACTTACTGCTTACTGCTTACTTCTTACTGCTTACTGCTTACTGCTTACTGCTTACTGCTTACTCCTTACTACTTACTACTTACTACTTACTACTTACTACTTACTACATACTACTTACTTCTAACTTCTTACTTCTTACTTCTTACTTCTTACTTCTTACTACTTCCTACTTCCTACTTCCTACGTACTACGTACTACACACTGCGGACTACATACTACATACTACGGACTACGGACTACGGACTACGGACTACGGACTACTCACTACTCACTACATACTACGGACTACTCACTACGGACGACGGACTACGGACTACGGACTACGGAGTACGGACTACGGACTACGGACTACGGACTACGGACTACTCACTACTCACTACTCACTACTTACTACTTACTACTTACTACTTTCTACTTACTACTTACTACTAACTACTAACTACTAACTACTAACTACTAACTGCGAACTACGAACTACGAACTACTACTGTTTTGCTTTCTACTACTACTACTACTACTACTACTACTGCTACTTGCTACTTGCTACTTGCTACTTGCTACTTGCTACGGCTGCTACTACTACTACTACTACCACTACCACTACCACTACCACTACCCACTACCCACTACCCACTCCCAACTACATTCTACCCACTACCTACTACCCACTACCCACTACCCGCTACCCGCTACCCGCTACCCGCTACCCGCTACCCGCTACCCGCTACCCGCTACCGGCTACCGGCTACCCGCTACCCGCTACCCGCTACCCGCTACCCGCTACCCGCTACCCGCTACCCACTACCCGCTACCCGCTACTCGCTACCCGCTAACCGCTACCCGCTACCCCCTACCTGCTACCCGCTAACCGCTACCCGCTACCCGCTACCCGCTATCCGCTACCTACTACTACTACTACTACTATTACTACTACTACTACTACTACTAGTACTACTAGTACTACTACTACTACTACTACTACTAGTACTACTACTACTACTACTACTACTACTACTACTACCCACTACTACTACCCACTACTACTACCCGCTACCACTACCCACTACCACTACCCACTACCCACTACCACTACCACTACCCACTACTACTACTACTACCACCACTACTACTACTACTACTACCCACTACCACTACCACTACCACTACCACTACCCACTACCACTACCACTACCCACTACCCACTACTATTACTACTACCCACTACTACTACTATTACTACTACCCATTACTACTACTACTACTATTACTACTACTACTACTACTACTACTACTACTACCCACTACCACTACCACTACCACTACCACTACCACTACCCACTACCACTACCACTACCCACTACTACTACCCACTACTACTACCCACTACTACTACCCACTACTACTACCCACTACTACTACCCACTACTACGCACCACTACTACTACCCACTACTACGCACCACTACGCACCACTACTACTACTACTACTACTACTACTACTACCTACTACCTACTACCTACTACCTACTACTACTACTACGACGAACTACGAACTACGAACTACGAACTACGAACTACGAACTACTAACTACTCACTACTCACTACTCACTACTCACTACTCACTACTCACTACTCACTACTCACTACTCACTACTCACTACTTACTCACTACTCACTACTCACTACTC